GGCCCTCTCTTCTCTTCCTGCCCAGGGACATTCCTGCTCTCTCTGTCTGTGATCTCTTACCCAGGATCAATGCTCCTGCTTCCAATGGTGACAAGCCCAACCCCTCGGCCTTGTGTTCAAGGCCCCATTTTAACTTTGTGTCCTCACTGTATCCCAGCTCTATACCTCTTGATCTAATTCCTAATTCCCACTTCCTCCAGGAAGCCCTTGCTGCTTACTCCAGGCCACAGTGAGTTCTCTCTTCTCTGATCCACTCCTACCCTGGTCTTTCATGTCTCATGGGTAGATCTGGGAGCTCCTTGTCCAGCCTAGCCCTGCCTCCCTCACCTGGAGCCCTGCTCCTCTCACTTCAGCCACCTTGAGAATGGGCCTAAAGGTGAGACAAATGTCTGTGGTGCCTACCCACTGCCCCTAGGCCACCCAGAGTCCGAGAAGCCCTCCTGGAAGTGAGAGGAATATAGGTAACCTGGGTTCTCGTGGCTGACAGGTAGGAGTTAGAATTTTGGCTCTGCCACTTTCTGTCTGTGTGCCCTGGAACAAGTTATCTAGCCTCTCTGTACCTTGGTTTGTACATTTAAGTGGAGCCAAGAACATCCATACCTTGAGGTTGCTGTATAAATTAAACATATTTCTGGCCGGGTGCAGTGGCTCATGCCTGTAATCCCAGCACTTTGGGAGGCCAAGGCGGGTGGATCACCTGAGGTCAGGAGTTCGAGACCAGCCTGGCCAACATGGTAAAACCCCATCTCTACTAATAATACAAAAACTGGCTAGGTGTGGTGGCACACACCTGTAATCCCAGCTACTCCGGAGGCTGAGGCAGGAGAATCACTTGAACCCTGGAGGCGGAGGTTGCAGTGAGCCAAGATCGTGACATTGCACTTCAGCCTGGGTGACAAAAGCACTTTGTCTCAAAAACAAAACAAAACAAAACCATATATCCATAAAATCCCTAACACTCAGTCAGTGTTCCGTAAATAGCAGCTTTATGGTTAATGACTCCTGAGACCCCCAGGTGAGGAGATGGAGACCCAGAGAAGGTGGTGTGCCTGAGCTGGAGCTCATTCCGGATAAGAACCTTCCACCAGAACAAGAACTGCATCCTGTACCCTTCCTGGACTCTTCCTGGTGCTTACTCCAGCCAAACACACGCCAGCTCCACTTCCTTCTGTACCTGTATCTCCACTCCAAACCCTCCAGAGGCAAGGCTGGCACTATCCTCACACCAAAGGAAAAAGAGCTCCCTGAACTGCTCCTGATAGGACAGTGGCCTGTCATCCTCAGCCAGCAATCCATGCGTGTCAGAGACAGGAGCCTTGAAAGTTACAAAGCCACTCCTGTGCACACAGACCTGCCAACACTCTGCCCATGCCCGTCCCTAGACACCCCCACACCTCGTACATGTGGGTGGATGTGACCAGGAATGTGTCTAGAGGCCTGAGATGGGGGATGAGAAGGTGGAACCACGATATGGCCATGCAGTGGGCTGCAGCCCGCTCTGTGCTGGGTGAGGTGGAGAGAAGCCTTCCTCTTGCCCCCTGGCCAAAGGCCCTCACATGTTGCCCAAATCCTAAGCAGATAAGACATCTTTCTGTGCTGCTTACGAGCATTCAAGAGTACCTGGAGGGCAGCTGGGGACGGGTGTCCTGTGTCCTCTGGGTTTTGGGGACTCGTAACCAGGCTCACTGCTGAGCCAGGCCTGGGGCTGACCCTCCCCCTCCTTCTGCGGCCACTGCCGGCTTCTGCTCCCCTGACACCACTGTGCCCCAGTCTTCCCTCACCCACTGTCTTCAAGGCCTCGCTCCCCCTCCTCCTGCTGCCGCTTCTCCCCTCACCTCTCTACTTTTCTCACCTCCTTCCCTTCTCTCCTCTCGTCCTGCCCGCTGCCATCACACCACCTTCTCCACCCCTCTCCCATTCCTTCTCTCTATTCCCCTATCCTGTTGCCTATTTCTTTAATCTTTTAAAATGTTCACTTCTCCCCACTTCTCCTTCTCCCCAGAGGTATTTAATGGCTATCAAATTATTTTAAACTAACTTTCTTTAAAAAAAAACACACAGCTTGGTGATAGTGCTGACTCAGGGCCATCTCGCTGTTTAATATTGAATATGCAATTAATAGATAGATGTTTAGGTTTGGCTCTCCCCCACCTCCCCCCACCCCCACTTTCTGCTGCAAGAAGAATAAAAGAGCTGATTAATCTGGTTCGGGGCGAGTGTCAGCCGCAGGAGATATATGGGGGAAAGCCGATGAGGTTAGCATCTTGGAGTCAGAGAGCTATTGCCTCTGAGGCAAGTTCAGGGAGAGAAAGGTTTGAGTTAGAGCCCAGCACGGCCTTGCTGGGCAGAGGGGATTCCAGACATCCCTCTCCAGTGCTGGAGAAAATGGCCTGGACTCTGACCTGCCTGCCCTGCACCAGATGGCGCCTTCTTGTGGCCCTCAGAGGCCTGGGTTGGTGGCCCTTGTTCACGCCATTCTCCCTTCTCCAGCTGTGGGATCTCCCACCTGCAAGACCAGAAGTGCCACCTCCCCTGAGGCCTCTGGCTGCCCCCGCCTGGGGGATGATCTCCTCTCCGGAACTGCTGCTGGCACCTACTATCCCAGCTTTCCTGCCCATCCGTGAGAGCTTCCTTGTGCCACTGCCTCCTGGCCGGGCCGTGTGAACAGGGGGCTGCAGGTGGGTCACTGTGTGCCTGGGTGACGGTCTCCAGGAGACACGCCTCCCACTGCTGTGGGCTTCATGTGCCCTGGATGAGGCTGAGCGAGGATGGCACTCCTGTCACTGCCAAGGAAGGGACAGGAGCAGGCAGCACAAACCAGGTGGGCTTCGCTCACGTGGGCCCCTCATGCCTGAAGCATCTTTACCCCTCAACCAACTGGACCTTGACTACCAGGGTCCTTAGGACCAGAGCACTCCGTGGGTGTGAGGAGGTGTGTCTGTGCCCTGGGCCGTGGGATCCCTTCAGGCAGCACCAAGACACCAGCCCAAGCCCTAGTGGGTGGGATCTGAGGTCAAGGTTAGGAGGGGCCTGAGTCCTAGAGGCCTTGTGCCTGGGTCAGTGCCCTGCTGGGGCTGGAGGGCAGAGGCCTGACTGAGGGGATGAAGGAGTGTTCTGAGCAGGCCCAGGCCCCAAGGATGAGCGGATCACCAGCGGCCACACCATAGCACCTTCCAGGACAACTGGCTCTCCAAATTTGCAAGTAGCTTTCGCCTACTTGACTTTTTGCCCTTGATTTCCCGGTAAACTTTCTGAGGAAATGAAGGGGAGAGAAATTCCTCAGTTCCTGGCTGATCTAATGAGCAGGGAGAAACCTGGAGTGCTGGGCCTGGGCCAGGGGAGGGTGGTGAACACAGACACTCATGTCAGAGCCCAGGGCATGGCAGGGTTGGCAGAAGCCAAGAGCTCCTAGCCGGGAGGTGGAGGGCAGCTGTGACCGGCTGTCCCATCTTACTACCTGGACCCTCATACTGGACACCCCAGTCCCGGCGGGAGGAAAGGTAGGCTGGGGCCACTTTGGAGGCTGTACCTAATGTCACCTTCTCAGGGCAACAAAAGGCCCCAACTCCTTATGTTCCCCTTGGAGGCCTCATGGGTGTTCTCAATTTTTCTGAACCCTTTCTGGGCCTCTCCTGTCTGTGGCGGAAGAGCGGCCAAGGTGTCTCCCATTGTGGGAGGAAGCTGGAGGTGGGGAGCCACCGCCTGTCTGTCCTCTGGGAGTGTCCCACTTCTGTGTGGCTGTTTGGCTCTCTGCCTGGCTGTTTCTCTGTGGGAATTCAGGTCGGAGCCCCTTGCTGGTGGAGAGGACAGAGTCTCTACTTGGGGGTTCTTCACCTGCTCGGAGCCTCTGTTTGGCCCCCTTCCCAGGGGAAGTGCCTGAGAGCTCAGTTCAGAGCAACGTCTGGGCAGGGCCCAGTGGGGATGAGGCTCAGTGTGAGTGCCGGGGGCTGGTGATCAGGAAGGACAACGCCTCCCTCCCCAAGGAGGCGGGCCTGGAAGGGGGCACCTGGCAGGAGCCTGCACATTCTTCTACGCTATTGTGCTGGTGAGTCTGTTCCTCTCCCACAGGTGAGGTGTGATGGACTCTGCATCATGGGGGCAGTTTGTTGTGGGAGGAGCTAGTGCCTAGGTAAGAGAGGCCTGATCTTGGATGCTGGATGTATTTTCTTTGCCATGTCCTTGCCTTTCATTTTCTTTTAATGTCAGAGTATGTTTGAATCTCATCTAGGGGAGCCTAGGGCCAGGGTTGTGCCTAGGGTTGGCCCTGGTTACTCTGTGACTGGGATGAGGAGGGAGGAACAGTACAGACACACAGGCACTATGCCAAGAGGATGCTGTCACTTGGTGATGGAGCTGCCCCTGGCTGGCCATCTGCCTGGCCCTTCCAGGGGTGAGCCTCAAGGTGTGGCATTCCCTTACCCAGCCTCTCCACAGCCAGTCTCCGGTGGGCTTCACATTCTGGGACAAGTGTCTGTGGAGTGAGGCTGTGTCCTTCTCCTCTGTCCCTTTCCAGACACCTGTCTGACTGCCTCTATCTCCAGGATCTCTGCCTCAGCGCTGGCCTTGAGTGCCCACACTCCCATGGGCCACTCAGATTTGCCTCCTGTGGCCTGAATCCTCCTACGGCACAGTTACGACCGCTTCCTGTCTCCTTTCTGACTGCACAAGCCCCATCACGGTGGGGTTTTCCTTGGCAACACCGAGGTGGGCACACCCTTTTTGGTATTTTAACGGAGGGGAGAAGAATGCCCCGAGACATGGCACTTGTTTACTCAGAGAGGCAGAAACCCCACCGTTTGGAAGACCCCAATCGCCCTCCTTCCCTCATCTCTCCACACCAGTCACCCAGAGCTCCAAAGCTCTGTCCCCAACCCTCAGCCATGAGATCCCCAGAAGGGCAAGAGGAGGAGGCAGGGAGTCGCTGCATCACATTGCTGCATCGGGAAAAGGAGGGAGGAGTGAGAAGGGGAGGGGAGGGGCAGAGACAAGTGGGCCCTCACGTGAAGGGGGCTGGCGCAGGCAGCTACTACCTCCTCGGCTCTCGCTGTCCGCAGGCTTCACCTGGATTGGCCGGTTCATCTGCAACAGAGCACAGGGGGACAGAGTTATAGCAGGCCTGTGGGTGAGGGGCAGACACCCAGCACTCAGGCGCACAGGTGGATGCAGGTACACAGACTGCATCCACAGACACACGCTCCCACACGCTGCCGCAAGCACACACACCTTCACCAAAGCAGTGCCCGTCTGCCCTCAACGGCACAGCCCCGTGGCCCCATTCTTTCAGGAGTGTGTCTCTGGACAGGAGACCGGTGCCTCCTCCTCCTACTCCAAGCAGGTCCTGCTAGCCTTTGATAGCAGAATCTCAGGTTGACAGAAATGCTGCCCGTCCCTGTGTCGCACAGGCCTTTGTGTCCCCAAAGTACACCCTTGGCTCAGCCCTGGTTCACTCAAGACATCTGCCTTTATGGAAATGAGCTGTCGCTGGCTGCAGATGGACCCCACCCAGGCCAGGGCATCCAGCTTCATCCCAGCACCTACCAGCTGGTAGATGTGGCCTGTGGGTCAGGCGTGGCCAACGCTCTGGGCCATCCAGCTCCAAGGTTAAAGCAGAGTTCAGGGCTGTGGCTCCTGGTTGCAACTCGGGCCGTTCTCTCAGGGAGTGCGCAGAGTGGGCACAGCTACTTGTCCCCTATGGTGTCTGGGTACCAGGGCGACAGGAGAGCAACGCCTGACTCCCCTAGCCTGCCAGCCTGTCTTCCCTCTTGGGGATCTGTGTCAATGGCCCATTCAGGCCACTAGGGGTCTCTGGACTCCAAGCATCCCGGGCTTGGCTGCCTGGCTTCAAGGCTCACCGAGAGGCACCAGGGTGGGCTCTACAGCCCAGAGGTTTCAGCATGTTTTAAGCAATAAACATGAGGAGAATCATGCAAGTGGATTTGGACCTGATGTCTTCACCAGTGTTTCTGCCCTTACGCACCTCCCTGAGCCTTTCTTGCATCTGCATTTCTCTCACAAACTCAGACTCAGAGAGGCAGTGGGGCAGGTACAAACATCGCCATTTAAGAGATGGAGAGGCTGAGCCCAAGAGGCATTCAGGTGCTTCCCAAGGCTACCATGTGGCAGGACACGGCTGGGAAACGGGGCCTGCGGGGAGATTTCTGCATATCTGTCCTGCACTTTGAGACCCTCCGTTGCCAATTCCCTCCCGTACAGCGACTGGACCAGCCAGTCACAAGCTTCCTCCTGCCTTCTGGTCTAGGACTTGAAGTGAGTTTTGGCTGCATCAAGACAACTGGGTGGGGGAGTATGGGTGCCTGTGACTCAGCAAGGTGAGCACGAGGCCAGGGGAAGGGCAGAGCTGCGGCCGGGAAGGACAGAGATGGGAGGCAGGACGCAGCCGACAAGGAAGGAGGCACAGGTAGCCAGAGGCAGCAGGGGAGGAGGCTGGGGCCAGCCCAGCAAGAGGGACCAGGGTGTCATTGTTCACCACCAGGTCCCCACTTGACATCCCTTATGGAGTTGAGGGGAAGCAAGGTGCTTTGTTCCCAAGTCCTGGCAGCAGAGAACACTGCCGTGTTACAACAAACGCCAATCACAGGAAGAAGGAGGAGGAATGTAATGAAGTTCCTGGCTTCCCTGTGAACCAGCTCCTTTCCAGTCCTTGAGGGAAGGATCCAGAAGGCCACCCAGGCATCTGGCTATGGGAGAGGTGATTCAGGAGGGAGCCAGGTTGCTCCTGGTTCCCTGTCCAGTACTGCTTGGGACTCAGCATCTCACCCTTTCCTAGGCTGCCCTGTCCTCCTGGAATGCCCTGCCCTCCTAGCCTTCCCTTCTCTGAAACCTGCGGCGTTCTTCTCCCCCAAACAGATCTTAAGGACTGACCTGGACCCAGTTCCAGCCCTGATGTTCTCTTGGACAGATTTCTACAGCTTTTCTGCTTATGTAATTTTACAATTCTCTGAGGTAGGGATTATTATATCCATCTTTTCAATGAGAAGAACAAAGCTCTGAGGAGCAGCGGAGCTGGGATTCAGCCAGGATGAGTAGGCACATGAGTGCTACCAATACAATGGCCTTTGGCTTTGTCATATTTTATCTCATTTGACCTCAGCTGCTCCAGGAGGAGGGGACCAAGGAAGAAGTAAATGGGAAAAATACCCATCCCATAAAGGGAGACCAAGGCCAGGTTCTTTGGGCCAGCAAATCAAGTATCTTTTCTGCCTGACTCCCCTGGCCAAAATCTGGCCCCAACACCTCTTGCACCAGTCCCACCGCACATCCTGGCACCTTCCTCCCCCAGGTCCATTCCCTGGGCCTGCAAGTTCCCTGCTGTCCCTCCCAGCCTCCTCCTCTTGACAGTCTATTCATGCTTTGAGCCTAGTCCACTTGGCTTCTGTTATGGACTGAAGTGTGTCCCCCCAAAATTCATATGGTGAAGCCCTAACCCCCAATGTTACTGTATTTGGAAATAGTGCCTTTAAGGAGGTACTTAAGGTTGAATGGAGTTATAAGAGTAGGGCCCTCATCCCATATGATTGATGTCCTCACAAGAAGAGGAAGAGACACCAGGGATGTGCACACAGAGAAGGCCATAGGAGGACACAGCAAGAAGGCTGCCATCTTCAAGCCAGGAAGAGAGCCCTCATATAAACCAATCCTGCCCACACCTTCATCTTGGACTTCCAACCTCCAGAGCTGTGAGAAATACATTTCCATTGTTTAAGTCATCTGGTCTGTGGTACTTTGCTATGACAGCTCTAACCAACAAATAAGCCCCCTAGTTCATGAAGCCTGATTGGTACCCCATCGGGAAGGGTACTACAAGTAGCTCCACATTTTCCATTAAAAAGGTACACTCAAGGCTGGAATTTGATTTGCAAGTGGGGGTGGAGCTTAGGCAGCCCAGGCCTCCCCAAGGATCCACAACACCGCTGAGAACAGGAACAGTTGCTATACGCATCACATTGCTAGATCATCGCAACTTCTCCTATGATGTATGCAAATAAAGGAAATGGAGTTTCAGAGAGGTTAAGAAGTTAACCTGAGGTCACAAAGGTTGTAAATGGTGATATCAAGATGAACCCAGGACTCCTGACATCTGTCTACTCATTTAGGAGATGCTGGAAGCAGGTGGAATGGGCTTGGGATGGTCCAGGAAAGTTCCAAGCAGAGGCCAGGGGGGTGGGAGAAAAAGAGGGGGGCAGGGAGCCAGATGGGGAATTCAGGCTTCCCTTGCAAGGATGGGAGAAAGGCCTGGCTGAGAAGGGGCAGGCAGAAGAGTGTGAACCAGAATCTGTTGGGCTTTGCTGCTCTGTCCCAACTGGGAAGTAATGCCATTCCTGGGGCCAGAGCATGCTAGGCAGACCCCACATCCCTAGGGGCCTCATCCTGTGTGGGAGGAAGGCTGGGACCACTGGAGGAGACTCCTTTCCTGGCACCTCGTTTCTGTGTTTTATGGCCAGTCTTCTCTGGTTGGGCCCGAGAGCAGCTGGGGTGAGTCCTGGGAATTGGCATGGCCAGGGTAGAGCTATTTCTGATATGATGGGTCCCATTTTCCATGGTAAATTAAACTGGGCAAATGAAATCTCCCTGTGTGTGCAGGCTTCCGCCCTAGAGGCCACCCCAGTTGCAGGCAGCCAGCCCCACTGTCCTTGGTACCTGGGCGCCTGTTACGCTTTGGCCTAGCATCCCTGCCCCAGGAGCCCTCCCAACCGGACAGTCCCTGCATGGTGCAGGCAGACCTCCTCCATGGTGTGCTGTTGGGCTCACCCCTCACACACAGGCCCCTCTGCTTCTCTCCAGTTTTACTGTGGGCTTTCTGACAGCAGGAACATGGGGGCTTATCCAGCCTCCCAGCTGCCTTCAGCCATGGGCTAGGCACCTACAGGGTGCTCTAAACAGATTGGTAAAGGAGAATTGAATTGGTTCCCATGCAGCCATGGCTCCTGGGGTCATTTTTCACGTCCCATTATAATCTGATGGTGGTCAGCATCCAGACGGCCTTTGAGGGGCTTGTCAGAGAGGTGCCGGGCTAGATGGTGAGATAATATACGACCCTGTGCTTTCTTAATTCTCAGCAGAAATAAAGTGTCAGGCTTGGTTGGGAAGATTTCTCAGCTGGAGCAGGCTGTGTACAGATGGCCCCAGCCTGAAGGGAAACCTCCCTCCCTCCCCTAGTCCTCGGCCAGCCTCACCCAGCCCTGATTCTGCCCTGAAGAGGGAGGATGGAGCACATCTGTCCTGGGAGAGGAGCCTGGGCCAGGCAACAGAGATGGGGAGAGAACGAGGCAGAGCACGATGACAGAGCAAGGGGAGAGGTGAAGAGAATGCCAGAGAGGGCAAGGGTGAAGGAGAGCAGAGGGGTCAGGGCAAGAGCCAGGAGAGGAGGGAAGAGCCAAGAGCGAGACCAGGAGGAAGACCGAAGGCCAGGTGCCATCTCCTTGCCCTTCTTGCAACTTTGCCCCCTGGGACCCTGGCCATTGCCTCAGGACCCCTTTGGTGCTTTTCCTGCCCCGGTCTCTGCTCCTCTGTCAGCCATTCCTCTCCACTAGCGCGTTGTCCTCCCCGCAGGGCCCTGGGGCTTGTGGCTGCTGGGAATCCGGGCTGGGGCACAGGAGCCTTCCCTGCCGATTCTCTTTCAGAGATGTCCTCAGTGTCCCCATGGATGCCCCATGGCCTTCAGTTGGTGTCCTCCTCCAGGTGCCCGAAGGGGGTTTGGTGAGCCAGACCTGCCTTCCCTGGGTCAGGAACAAGCTACCTGCAGCTCCTCTGGAGGCTCCTGGGGTCGGTCCTCTGGGGACATCACAAACCCTTGTGGACTGTGTTTCTACTTCCAGCCGAGCGCCCCTCTGGGGAAACGAGTGGGCCTGGCCCAGACCTAAAGCAGTTTCTGCTCCCGCCTGTGGCGGGCGTGGGCCGGTGGATGCCCCTTTACTCTTCCACTCAGGCTCTGCCTCCCTTCCCCCGCCCCATCCCTCTGCCACTTTTTGCATCAACACATATCCATGCATTAAACAAGACATTCCATTAATTTCTTCATCATCATAACTTAAGCTGGGACATACCCTTTAAATATTCAT